GCCCCGCCCCCGGCAGGTTCAGGAGCCCCTCGCCCGCCCCCCACCCCTGCCCCGTCCTCCCGCCGCCCGAGCCGAGCTCAGGTGGGCAGTGTGGGAGATTGTCCAGGTTGGTCGGTGGTGTTGGCCGGATGCGCTGGGCCTCCTGCCCCTCCTGCCCCTCCCACGTCTGGCTCAGCCAGCCCCCACCTGGCAGGGAGCTACAGCCACACGGCCAGCACCCTGGCCCCTTTGGCTTGGTGGTGGCCTGTGGTCTGGGACACGGCACGCCCACCCAAGAAGTGAACTAGGTATGAGGAGGGGCGGATGACGAGGGGAGCGGTGACAGCTGGCGCTTTGCCAGACGTCCAAGAGGGGCCTGACGGGACGACGGGCGGGGGCACCCTCCCGCCCAGGGGTCTCGAGCCTCGGGCTCGCCCCTCTGACCCCCGGGTTCTTGTGTGTGCGAGGAGTCCGGCAGCCTGGTGCTTGAGGCTTCGGCTCCCGTAGCGCCTGAGGCCAGCCTGGGCGTCCACGGGGGCGGCCAGGTGCTCCCTCACTGCCTCCTGGTGGGACCTCCTAGGTGTGCAGGGGAGGGGCTGCCCGGGCGAGCAGGGCAGAGGGGGGCTGGCCTGGAGGGAAGCTCAGCCTTCTCAGCCCCTCGCCCCTGCAGGCTCCTGGCAGGGGGGGCACAGCGGTGGCTCCCCGCAGGCTCCCGCACAGTGCCCACAGGTAGCCCGACCCCTCCTCCTGACGGGAGGCCCGTGGCCTCCCCCTGCTCTTGGCCCGGTGCTCTGAGCAGAGCCGGCCCGGCCAGGGCCGACGGCCAGACGTTCCGTTCATTTTCCATTTCTCCTTCCCAGTGCTCCGCGGCCCCACCCTGCCCTCCCCTTCGCTCACCCCTGCCCTACCGAGGGTCGGGGGCCGGGAGGGACCTAGAAACGAGTGTCAGCGAAGCCGTCCAAGTCCTGCCTGGGCCCCCCCCGGGAGCCCCTCGCCCCCTCTGAGTCTCAGCCAAGTGAGGTGGGGCAGAGAGTGGGCAAGGGCCGGCCCCGGCCTCCCCGGCGCGTGTGCTCACACGGCACTCCAGGGGTCTCACCCGCTGGGGGCCACCCCTGGGCGAGGGGACACAATTGAGCAGGGGCTCCGAGCGTGCCAGTCTTGGGCGGGAGAGAGGGACGCCTCTGTCCCCGAGCCAGGGCTCCGCTGGCGGCACAGTGAGGATCTGGGGCGAGCCACGCACAGCCCGAGTCCTGAGACGGGGCTCGAGCTCAGCGTGGGGCCCTCAGGGTCTCCGTTCCTTGCCCGGAGGGTGAGCTGCTCACCGCTCAGAGCAGGGTGACCCCGGGGCTCCACGAGTCCTCCCCGGGCGCAGGGTCCGGCCCCGGTCGTGGGGCCACGTCTCTCCAGGGGCAAGGCACACGGGGTGCTCGTGTGGGCCTGTCCCTGCCCGAGCTTGGAGTCTCCTGGCCCGGCTCCCAGACTCCGGTGGGATGTGGGTCCCCCAGGACGGGCGGAAGAAGGCCCTGTGCTAGCCTCGCCCCTGCCCTCTCTGCCCGCAGGTCACACTGGTCGCCTTCTTCGAGCCCTGCTGCTTTTCAGCCTCCTCTTCCTGGCAGCCCACCTGGCCTTCCAGATATGCCTGCACACCGTGCCCCGCCTGGACCAGCTCCTGGGGCCAAGCTGTGAGTTTCCACTGGGACCTGGGAAGGGGGTGCCCGGGACAGCTAGCCGGGGGCCAGGGGAGAGGGAGGGGACACCGCGGCCCCGGGAAAGGCCGGCCGCCCCGCCTCAGCAGGCTTTGCCTAATATGGGCTGGCCCCTGAGCCCGTCCACGATTTCTGTTCAGCCCACGTGGCCCCGTGTTAAGAGCCAGTGACACTTGGCCTGGGGCTGGGCCGAGTGAGGCACGGTGCTAATTCTGGACCCCGAAATCTGGCCCTCGGGGCAGCCTTGGCCTTCTAGGCCCCTGTCTCTGTCAGCATCTTCCTCTGGCACCTGGAAACGTGGCCGTGGGCACCAGGGGCCCTCAGTGTCCTGCCCTCCCCCCCCCCGCCCCGGGCCCCTCATCCTGCGGGCAGTTTCCAGCCGACACCCACCCTCCCGGCTCCGGAAAGGAGTGGCCTCAGCGCCCTGGACTCCAGACCTGTGAACCGCGGGCGCCCGGTCCCCACAACTAGCGTTGCCTGGCCTGGCTCCCCCGCCCTGCCCGGGCTCCCGATTTCGGGTGACTGTGTCCACACCGCCGTCCAGAAGAGGGTGTGGAGCGGAGTCCAGGGCCAGGTGGGCGCGCCGGTCCCGCTGCCTGGGAGACGGGCCTCCCACGCGGACCCCGAGGAGCCGTGGCCTCGGCTGGGGGTTTTGAGTGCCCAGCCCGGGCTCCTGGCTGCGAATCCCCACTCTGCAGACAGACCTCCGGGCCTTCGGCCCCCTGGCTTTGCCTGGCTGAGCCTCAGTTTCCCTGCTAGTAGAGGCAGCGTTTTACGAGCAGCCCAGAGGCCAGGTGTTCGGTGATTCCTGGCAGGGCCGTGGGGCACCGCCTGACCCCGTCCCCCTGTGCCTCTCTCCACAGGCAGCCCCTGGCAGATCCTGTCCCAGCACGTAGGGGTGACGAGGTAAGCCCTCTCCCTGCCTGGGGCCTCCAGGCCCTGGGGTCCCCCCTTCCCTTCCTGTCCCCACCCCCCCGCTGCCTGGCACCTGCCCTCCTGACCGATCGGTGGGCACTTCCTGCCCCTTCGCAGGCTGGACCTGAAGGACATCCCCAATGCCGTCCGGCTGGTGGCCCCTGACCTGGGTGTCCTGGTGGTCTCAGCCGTGTGCCTCGGCCTCTGTGGGCGCCTGGCACGGGAAGCCCGGCGGAGCCAGCCCGCCCAGGAGCAGGTGAGGGCCGTAGGTGGGCCGGGTGCCCACGTGCTGGGGGCGGGGCTTCTTGGTCCTTCCGGCCGTTTGAGGCTCTGCGACTGTTTCATTTTTATACAGACGTGCACTTTTTAGTTTAAGGGTCGGTTTGTGTCCATTACGGAGAGCTGAGGCCTCAGGGGTGAGAGAAGGCGTGTGTCCCGTTCCTGGGGCAAGGGGCTACCCTGTGAGCCCCTCAGCCTGTGTGTTTGCCAGACCCGGTCCTAGGAGGGTTCCATCTCGGGGGAACTTGTGGGGATCCCACGCGTGTCTGTGCCTTAAGAAACCGTTCCTGGAGGCCACGGGGCAGCGGGGAGTCAGCAGTGCAGGGGGCCGACCTCCTGGCCGCCAGGGGGCACCGAGGGTGGATGCCACTCCCGAGGGAGTGTCGATGGCCTCTAGGCACGGGGTGGGGGGTGGCGGAGGTCCTGATCTAGAGACTGTCCTTGGGGTGTCCTGCTCTGGGAGCTTTCCCTCAGCATCAGGCGTGAGGGTCAGGGCCCCTGATGTCCCCCACGGCTGAAGCCTGAGTGCCCTTCTGCCCCCCACGAGGGCTGTGGTCTCGAGCCCCGCCTGGCCTCCCACACGTGGCCTCGGCCTTGGAGCGGCAGGGCCCGGGCCCCGGGGCTCCGTGGGATCTGTGACTGTCCGGGACCCTGGCACAAGTGTCCCCTGCCAGGGAGGCCCCAGGGCCTATAGGCTCCTCCCACCCACCTCTGCAGGTCAGGGGTGACCCAGGCTGCCCTGCCCCCACCCCACGGGGCCAGGCTAGGATCCCACTTTCAGAGGGTATAACGGGAGCCTGGAGGTCAGGTCGCTTTTCCAGGCACTTGTGGCGGACGAGCCAGGGTTGGGACCACCCTGCCGCCTGCCCTCGGGTCACCCTTCTCCTGGCGACCCCTCTCTACTCCCACAGGCACGTGGGCCCCAGGGAGCCACGGGTGGGAGCCACTGTGTGGGCCCCAGGGAGCCGTGGATGCCTCCGCTTTCCTTGTTGGTGGAGTCAGGGCTTCCTGGAGCGGCTCTGCCAGGAAGGGGCCAGACTCGATCCTGAAACCTGGGGTAGGACAGGAGGGGGCCGGCCACCCATGTTGCCTACACCCTCACAGCACAGCACTGCCCTGGTCGCTCGGGGGGCCGGACTCCGGTCTGCCCGGCGACCGGGACAGGTCACCTTCCTGTGGGTGTCCTCGGTGGCACATGAGAGAGCCTGTGCCGTCTTGCTGGCCGGGGTGGCCGGTGTAGACAGACCTCAGAGCGAGGGGCTGGGGGTACCCTCCGCAGGCGTGTCTTAAAGCCCAGAGCCACCCACACGTACGCGGGACAGCGTACGAGTGCGGCGGTGCATCCTGACACGATGTCACGTGCCTCTGCACGCACGCTCTGAGGGGGTGGCGCAGGGGGAGGGACAGAGAGAGGAAACTTGTGCTAAGCCTCCTGTGGCCGCCTGAGGGGCCTGCCGAGTCGGGGCTGGAGCCAGGGCTGGCCGGCTGGACGCCCCGAGCACCTGCCTGTCCCCCCAGCGGCTGCCTCCGTCCCCCCCTCGCAGATGTTGACTCCTCAGAGGCTGGCGGACACTTTCCCAGGGCCTCGGCCAGCTGTGCGCGGGTGGGAACGCAGGCCTGGCTGCTGTGCCTGCCCGCGAATGCCTCCCCCACCCCTCAGGGCCCCGCGCCCCCTGCTCTGAATTCTGGGGTCCCAGCCGTCCCGCGCCCCAGGTCCCCTGGCCTGCCCCTGCCCCTGCTTCTGATCACTGCTCAGGGGCTCCTCCCTATGGCCTCCCCACTCCCTTCCTGCCCTGTGAGGGCAGCACCTTTCTGTTCCCACCCCCATCTGGCAGACGGGAAACAGACTCAGAGAGGTTAGGTGACTTACCCAAGGCCGCACAGCCAGGAGGCACGAGCTGGGACACGAGCAGGTCACCTGGCCCCTGTGTACTTAGTCTGGACGCCGAGTGCCACCCCCTGGGAGAGGCCCGGGCGTGGCATCCAACGTGCAGGTGGGACATGGGGGGAGCGGGGCTGGGCGTCCAGGAAACGGCTCCGTTCTGGGAAACCTTTGAGTGGAACCGGGGACGGAGGCCCGGTCTCTGTGCGGCCTGGCGGGCCCTCCTGCCCCTGGCTCTCCAGGAGCCCCACAGGCAGCAGAAAGGGAGCGGGATCAAACCGGGTGCCCCTCACGGTCTCCTCCGTGCCCCCGTTTCTCTACCCACGAGGAAAGTGCTGCTTCAGCCACAGGACCGTGAGGCACAGACGTGAAGGTGCTCTGTAAACCGTGAAGGGCGGTGACGTGGTGTATTTTCCCTAAAAATCAGCACCCGGGCCTCTCAGGACCCAGGGGCTTCGAGGGCGTGTGCCGGAATCTGCGGGGCCTGCCCTGCCCTGCCCTGGGGGTCCCCCTGATGTAGAAAGGGAGGTAAAGAGGCACTTGCGGGCTTCCGGAATAACCCGGGGCCAGCCGTCACCACGGGCCGGGCCCCACCTCCAGGAGGGCCTGTGAACTCGAGGGAGGCCTCCTCCCCGCTTGTGTGGCCCGAGTGCCGTGCACCTGACCTCTGTCCCTCCCCACGACCTCGGCAGGACGATGAGGACAGGGAAGCGGACGCCGGCTCC